TGTCAGACTCTGCACATACATCATCCTGCACAGTGAAGCTCAAACATCCAGCTGTAGGAACGAGAAGAAAAACATATTGTTGACTGGAGGGGAAATTTAATGCTTTCAATCCATCATAAATTGAATTTTTTCCAATACTTTGGTTTATGATAAAATACCTGCTAACAAATCACATTCCCATCAGTTTCTGTTGTACTTTATGGTTTTTCCTAATTACATGCTAAACCAAGACGGTGAACCTGGTAAACATTATATACTGCTACACATCAGCATGTTAGCATTAAGGCCAAAGCAGTCTCACAGAGCAGCGAGCAATGCTGTAGACTCTCCTTGTTATTTTCTTATACGTGTCCTTATACAGAGAGTGTGGGCTGTCAACAGATGTTGTGCAGCAGATAGAAGATGAGACCTGAGGGGAACCAGTGCACCAGTGAAACAAAGAGTCCCTTCACAGATCAAGATGCGCTTTAATAAATTAGGTCATTTATTTGTTTTGTGGTTATGTCCTTGGAAATACACCCCGTCCCGTCCCCTCCCGTCCATAACACATGACTTACAGTAGCAACATTTTCTAGAAAAACAAGTTTACTGTGTGTGATCAGTGTCATTAAGCGGCCTCTCAACGTGTCTTGATTTTTCTGGAGAAATACAACTCAAGGTATGTAGAAGAAGACACGTAGCAACAAATGCTGCAATATGGATATCATAGTGTTTTGGTGTCAAGCTCATTGTCCACAGTTTGGGCCAGTAAAACCAGACCAGAAGTACGTTCTGAAGACATTAATGAAGCATCCATTTACAAAACAGATGACGAACAGACAGAACAATATAATATTTTACCTCTCCGCATGCAGATGAACAAGATATGCAAGGTTTATTGATCGCTGCCTGCCTTTCCCCTCCCTCTACCGCTGTATTTCATTTCCTGCCCTTGTATTACCAAAATCACATTACTGCATCAAGAAATAATATCTCACCAGAGACTCCAGACTCAACAACAGAGCCGCTCGCTCCCTCGCAGGCACCAGCAGTTCAGACACAACTGCATTAGCCCTGATGGAGCAGCTTGTCCTCCCCTTTTATGTGTAGCAGGGCGGCCAGCGGTAGATTGATTAACAGTGTTTCAGCGCAGCACAGCCTGATCTGATTTAGCCTCCTCCCACCATGTTTAAAGGAATACTTCAAAAGAAAAGAAGAAGCTGTTATCTGCTTAAGTCAGCTGGTGTTTTTTTAAGGATAGTTTTCAGTCATGTGAAATTTATTGGAGTTTTAACTGGCGATGTTTGTGTTCAGGATGACCTATAAAATGTAGGAAAGAGATAGAAAACACCTCACAGTGAACGATCTGGATGTGGAGAAGTCTCTAGCGTCAGCCGCAGCCCGAGTGTTTTAAGTCCTGAAGTCTATGAAGTCTTTAGTGTCTTCACCGAGCTAAGTGGGTCATGCATATTTTATCTCTGTGCTAACGCTCACATACGTTTGGCCTTTTAGCATTTAGCATAGCTCTGTGTTTATGTTAAATTATGTTTCCCGCTCTAAAGAGTCTCAAAGTCGTCAAAGAGTCTCTTTTTAGATCATTTTTTAGTATTTTAGTGTTTGGACTCACTGCCATACTCTAAGTCCTGCAGGTTCAAGGAAACAAGACATGAACACAGATGACCTCATCTATAATTAATCTGACTTTTTTATCAAAATGACCAAAAAAAAAAACATAAAACTGTGGGTGTGCGTTTCTGGTCAGACTATTTATAAAATGCCTCTGAAAAATGAATGACACTCCTCCTGAACCCGGCAGAAGCCACTTATTCCTCTTCTATCTTCATCTGTGAGAGGAGATGTTCTATTGAAAGTGACTATCATTTTAATATGATAATTACTAATGCAAAAGTATCTAAATTATCCAGCAAAAGTCACATTTATGTGCTCCCAGAACTTGTATTTGGATCCAATACTCCCCCAGTAAAACCACTGTGGTGTCATATACAGCTCATACTATGTTAGGGTTTGTTTCCATGATATGTTTTTATGTTTTAATCCCTCCTGCTGCCTCTGTTTTTATCAGATAAGACTGGGCAGCAAATTTCCTCCAGGAAGACTGACCTCCTCTGTCTCCTGCAGTGGTGGGAAGGTCATACCAATTGTTAATCAGCTTCACCAATGCTGAGCAGCATACCGGCAGATAATGCCCTGTCGCTTTTTATACAAAGGGAAACATGATTAAGCATCAAGTAAAAGCCTATGTAACATATAGCAAAAAATAAACATCCTTAAAGAAATCCTGCCTTTTCTATAATGTGGAGAAGATATTTAGCATATTTGTTGATAGTTTTATAAAGATCCCAACACTACTTTATTATTTTTTCTTAATTCGTATGAGATTTAAAGTTTTCCTGTGGTAATTAAGGCCTATTTTATCTTTATGAAATGAATATTCTAGTATTAATGGATGTATTGTAAAAAGAAAAAGCCCTTCCCTGTTACTACCTGTTAATTAAAGTATGTCTAATTGCTGTAATTACACATACAGTTCGTTTCACAAACTGTAATGACAACTCACCTCGTTAAAGGCAGCAGGGCTGATTTCAGCTGCTGGAGATCATCTGATGGATCAAACCATTCCCGGGCACCCAGAGTTAAGAGGACATTTCTGTGTTTTTACTGCGGCTAAAACCGACGAGAGAGGCTTTACCTGGACCAGATGAGATGTTTCACGTTTTTAATACGTTCTCTATACATTATTTGGCGTGGTGTTTGATGGGTAAATGAGTTTCTTCCCTCGCGAAATACTTGGTACAGTCCAGTTATCCGGCATGCGGTTTTTCGCTGCGAACGACGTCAAGTTAGCAACAGCGAGAACGAGGCTGCAACCGGAAATAGAGCAATACTGCCTTCAGAATAAAAGCTTTTTTAAATAAATGGAAACAAAGCTGATATCTGAAATTAAAAACATATGTAATTAATAATAATAATAGTTTTCTATTAATGATAACTGAACTCATAGCAGTAATATGTGTTTCAATGGCTGTTCCACTTTGTCATGAAAAAAATAATCTGGGACAATACCCATATTCTGTGCAAGAAAATGATAAATTATTAATAATACTTTTCTATTATGTGTCCTGTCTTATCTGTTTAGTGTTATATATTATGATTTAAGCTTGGCTTAAGGTTAATCTGGTACATTCAAGGGCAGCATTTGTGTTTTATATCTTATTATATATGTATGATATCATTCTGCTACAAAAATATTTGTCGCCACACCTTCTTTTATTATTAATTTTATTGTTTTTACCTCCTCTGTTGTGCATGTCCTTATTGTCATTTTATCTGACTTGCTGGTTCTTTTTGTAAAGCACTTTGTAACTATATTAAGAGAAGTGCTATATAATTAAAGTTTATTATTATTATTATTATAAACAGAACAACCATGCTTTGAAAATCTGTTGAGTATCCTTCCAAGCTGTCATCCGAGATCATTGTGTTTATTTATTTATAACAGCCCTCTGTTGAAATGCATTGCTTATTTAATGTTTATTTTGTTATGGTGTGTGTACTGTGTATATTGAATGTTATATCGTGCATTTCTTGTCTGTAAAAATCTGATAAATATATTAAAAAATTTGTGTCTAGCCTTTTTGTTTTTGTGTTTTTGATAAGGTGGTTAAAAAAATCTATGTAAAATGTACATATATGTACATATTTGGAACCAGAGAATATTTAACTGTTGCCTGAACCTCAATAAAACATATCTGACCTTAGAAGGAATAATTAGACAAATAAAAGTGAGCTCAAGATCCACCTACTAACTTTTTCTGGTGCTTTCACTTTGGATTGTTTTCTCTGTTGTAATGGAGATCAGCTCAGCCATCTAGGGTCACGTGATGCTATCTCTAATTGAACAAAAAAAAAAAAAACCCAAAAAGATGCGGTCCAAAAGCTCTGGACCTTGAGTTGTGTCTAAAATCACGAAAACATTGTGTGGATTCATTTTATTCTGAAAAGTCTGACGGGAAGTGGTTCCCCCCACCCTTTGTAACTTGACTCCGGTCCTGCGGCTCTCAGGACTCACTGAAGCTGTTTTATTCCCGCACTGTAGATTTTCCACCAAACTGGACTGGACCGACTCTCACAAGTTTTTATTACAATTCAACATTTCCAGACATTCCCAGCTGTTCCCAGTCGGATCCCGTCTCATTCACTGCATTACATTTTTTTTTTTTATCTTAATTTTTTGGTCACTTTTTTTTTCTCCTTCTACTCCGGTTGGATTTACAAAGGGCGTGTTTGGGGGCGATCTGTACCGGGAGTTTCATCTCCTGTACTTGCGCGACTCCTGAGGAATGACAGCAACTGGAAAGGGACTGCGATCCGCCTGAATGGAAACAATGGATTATAAAGAGCTTGGACATAATTTCGAGCAGAAGCTGACACTAACAGACAAATGTGAGTATCTTACAGCCATTAAAACTGGGTCATGAATAACAGTTAGAATTAAGGTGGTGTTATTTAATATTGTATGTATTAATCCCACCAGTCATAATGAAAGTGTGTCAGTATTTTCCAGTATTTATATAAATATGTTTATGAATAAGATTCAACAGCTGCAGCAATGTGTGCAGAACATACAGATTCCTGCTTTCCCCCCTCCTTTATAAGATGGGATGTTTGTCCGCCCTGGCAACCCGCTGTAATTCCTCCACACCAGAAACAGCGGGCTGTCTGCATCTCTAACAGGCGGGTCCTAACCAGCAGAGATCCCTGAAATGCTGCACTGAGCTGTGGTCTCCATTACCAAACGCGTCAGTGGTGCACAGGGTGGGAAAAAAATAAAAATGGCCCACATACATAAGTGGAAACTGAAGACACACACACACACACTGCAAAAACAACCAGTAAATTAATGAGATATTAAACAGGAGACTCCTTTTATCTCAAGGTCCGCCTACTTCTTGCTCAAGAGCACTTCGGCAGGGCAGATAGGGACTGATGTTAAGCCTCTGCGCAGCCTCAGCTCAGTGAACATCCTTCTAATTAAGTAAGCTCATATTAATTAGTGAGTCACGTTTCCTCTGGTACTGTAAATAATGATTTATAGTAATTATAATGGATCAATTTAGTCTTGAAGTGCACGAAACATCAACATACAGCCTCCACCTCCATCGCACACCTCCCCCCTGACCTGTGTGCTGGAGGAAGGTGACTTTCTGGTCATTTGGCAGCCCTCCCTGCCTCTCTACCTGCCTCTCTACCTCCCTCTCTATCTCCCTCCCTCCCTTGCTTTTCCACTTGATGTTGAGAGCATTGGATGGAGGGAGAAACGTCTGCTGCAGCTTTCTATCACAGGCTGTCATGGTGCTCGTCCCGCTGCATGTGTGGGAGTCTGCTGTATATAACAGCAGCTACAGCCTGACAGATACCAGCCAATACTGATTACTGATACTGTATAAGAGTATTTGGGAGTTTATCAAGATTAAATAATGATATATCGGCCATAGTACAGTCTTGATATGGATCCCTTATATTAGTTTTTTCTTTTAAATTGGGATGTTATTGAGGCATGGCTGTCGTTTATTGCTAGAAATGCAGCTTTATCAGGATGTTTGTAACTTGCAAAATACACGAAAAGTCCCTACATAGATTCAGTGTTTGGTTTGTCCGTTCTGGGCTACTGTAGAAACGTGGCGATTAAACATGGCGGACAAACATGGCGGACTCTGTGTGAGAGGACCCGCTCCCTCTGTAGATAAAAACATCTCATTCTAAGGTAACAAAAACACAATAATTATTATATTCAGGAGATTATACACTAATGAAAACACCTATGAATATTATATTTCAATAGATCTTCTTAACTCGACCTTTAAACGTACAATATGTCATTCGGCCACCATTGTTGTCAGATTCTCCCGGTTACAATTCCTTCAGTGTTCATGGTTCAGGAGGTTTCTACCATGAGCCGAATTATCCGCAGAGGTCTCCTCCTCTCCGAAACAAACAGATCCAGTGATTAAAACCAGTAAAAACACTGAATAAAGCAGTTTCACCTTAAAAATCAGTGTTTCTCAAATGCTGTTTGGTGGAAAAGGACGTCCTGGAGGAGCTGCTGATAATGTTATCTCAGCTTCTTCCTCTGATAACTTAAGATCCAGACATATGATGATTAAAATCCTTCATCTGGTTAAAATATAGAGTTAAAAAACTTGAAAATGAGGCTTAAAACTGGATAAAAAGTCAATTTAGGACAACCACAACACATGCACAAAGGATATATAATGCCACTGACATTTTGGATAATATAAGTACACAAATCAATGAGCTATATAACATAGGTCTATCGTTTTTAGACATTTTTAACCCCACAGTGTTACACATTATATCTTTAAGAGGCATGTGTACTGAAATACTCCACAAGCTCATATCATTCTTGAGCAAAATCACCCATCAGTAAGAGATCTCAGACGGAAAAACAAAGCATGTTTTGGTTGCCTTCTACAGAGAGCTCCAGCACGCAGCGGGGTTGATCAACATGTGACGTTATCGGGAATGCTAGACGCCGAAAAAGGCAGGGGCGTTAGATAAACAGACACATTCTTTCTCTCTGACTCCTTTCTGAGAGCTGTGTCTCTTGTAAAAAAAAAAATAAAAAAGAAGAAAAGGCAACTAGGGTTTGTTTGTTTTTTACAGTCTGGTGTGCCTGCAGAGCTGTTAAAGGGGATTATAATCCCATATCAAAGTGATTTATTCAGGTCTGAGGGTTGGCAGACCTTTGGTTTTATCCCTAATGCATGTAGACCATACAAAATCCCCCACAACACCCTCCAATGAATGCACACACACACTCACCCCTCCTGACCTCATCTCTCACACCCCCCCTGAAACCAGTCAACCAGCGACATTAATCAGTTTTTTTTCTGTCTGCTGGTGTTTCTTTGAGGAAACACAGCCAGCAGCTTCCTTTTTCCTACTTTCTCTGCGAGCGGCGGAGTCAAGGCCTCTCCAAGAAATGACACGTTCAAAGACTCTCTGTTTGCAGCTCACAATAGGAGTGGCACCCGTCCCCTGAAACAATTCACCTTTTGTGTGAGAGAAAACCTCTGCACTTGTTTCTTCTAGGCGTTTAACTTGCACACTCCCTCCCAGATGAAAACCTTCCTGTTATCTGTCTCTTGTCACCGTCTGTACCAACTTTTCCAGCCTGGTTGGCCGTCAGCAGTCAGCGTGTATCAGTGTGGAGTTAAATGCTCCTCTGTGGAAGTAATCATGAGACGTGGACTCCCTTTTGGCCCCGGCGAGCTTCCCAGTCATGCTGACGTTATGTTCTTGGCACGCGTTCAACATCGCAGCCAGCCTGGAAATGTAGATTATGGCCTAGAAACCTTCTTCCACTCTTTTTTTTTTTGATTTGCCACGATCATAAGTCATCCTCCACCATTAAACTCAGGAAAGAAGCAACCTTGGTCTAGGGTTTCCAGCCATAATTTAGTCTGTGTTAATGTGTTTTAAATGGTAGAAAATAGTGAAAAATGTCCATGTATACTTTCCCAGAGCCCAAACTGTCTTAAAATTGCATGTTTTGTCACAAAGATATTCAACTTACTATAATTAACTATTACTAAACTATATTAAAAAGCAATAAATCACATTTTAGAAGCTAGATCCACATGATTATAAACCCTTTCTGCTGAACAGCAATTTTTAAATGGTAGTTTAGCAACCATAACTGGTGCTGTAGAAAGAGTGATACTTGTAATATAACATAATAATAAAAAAACATACAAAAATGTAAGAAATGGATCGAAAAATGTGCTCTAACGTTCGCTGCAAGTGTTAGCATGTCCAGCTAACTAGCTTACTACCTGGAGAAGTGGCCATACTAAATTATTTTGATAGATTATATTACAAAAAAAGCACCCAGTTGACACTCAAGCAGACCCCCAGCTAATGTTATTTGAGATAAGGTTACGTTTGCTAAACACACATTTGTTTTAGCCCTTTAGTTCTGTAAATATTTCCATGCGTGTTTGAAAATGCAATCAATAAGGTATAAAAACACTGGCAATAAATAAGTAGGCAAGCGAAGCACCCAAACATTCGCTAAGGGAGCTGACTAGCTCTACAAAGCAATGTCGTCTCAACTAACTCACGGAGCTATCTTTCGTTTACTTATCTAGCTAGCTACAGTGCAGTTTATATGATCTGCTGATAACAGTCGTCTTTTCTATTTTTGTTTTAAAAATCATTGCTGTCCGTCATTAAGTGAGAGGCACGCTTTCATCTGTTTCCTTCCTATTATTTCAACAATTGCTAAGCTGCCGTCCCACAACGTGAGAATAGAAAGCTAGCAATAATTTATAAATCAAAATAGTCACAGATTAATTGTCTCTTGATCGACTAATTAAACTACTACTACTAATAATAAGTAGGGTTGAGCAGGTACACCATTATCTGTATTTGTTCAATCAACTTAATTACCTGTATTCGTATCCCGAAATAGGCGGGGCTTAAAGCTGAAGTGGGTGGAGCTAACCAGAAGTTGCCTTTAATTGATATGGGTCAATCAGAAGATGCTATATTTGTTAGAAAACCCCCAGAATTGAACTTTACAGCAATGTTTTAATCACAAGAGTAAAATAACTCTTTACTTTAATATATTTACGAGTATATTGACACTCAAACTCAAATACTTGTTTCAGCCGAGCACTCGCTCACTCCTACTTTACCTTAGACTGTTTAACCCTAACTTCTGAATTATAGTTTTAAATACAGTTTCTGTTCTGCATCGGAGGGAAAACCCCACAAAGACAAAGCTCCTCTCAGCTCCTGCAGTCAGACGGGGCTCAAGTTCTCACGGCTCTGCCAACTGTGCTTCATCGAGGGGGTGGGGGGCTCGAAATGCTCGTACATGCTGGTGGTGGGGAGGGTTTGGGGCGTGGATGGGATCAGCTAGAATGACTCTTGAGAAACTGGACGGGGTGTCGAGGTTGTTGTGGTTTTGAGTGGATCCTTGGGAGAAGAAAGGAAGGAGGAGGAGGAGGAGGACCAGATCAGAGTGCTCTCACCCTTACAGTCCACGTCAGCGATCCCTGTGACCAGATGCTTTAAATCACAGCCATGACACACAGAAAAAAGGGAGGAAAATGCTCCAATCTGCTGTAGTAGGAAGGAGCAGATGAAGAGAAGGATGAAGCTTCCTGAGAGCTTTATGCACACGTTAGTCATGTTTCCTTTCGTATCCGGGATATTAAAAAAAAATGAAATCATGAATGGGATGTGATATTAGTAATCCTGTTTGCAGCATAATCCTGTTAGGGGAACGGTGTGAGGCAGAGTTTAGTCATAAAAGGAAGTGTCGTATCACATTTTATAGATTAGAGAGCAACACCTACACATCTGTGACTATTTTAGAGCTGACGTGGATAGAAGAGAAATCAGAGGCAGGTATA